TTTTTTTAAAAGGATATCATATCAAGATGGGTTGCAAACATGTCTGTTTCGCAAAAGTCCTCTACAAAGTCACTTGTCATGGCCTCTGCGTAAAGAAGCAAGACAGGCCAATGAAGGATGTTGTTTTTATCCAACATTGGCTTCTTCAAACCCGTGAGTTCTCGGTACATTGCTTTGCCAATCTTAACGCCTCTGTTCTCCATCGCAGATAGACAAGCCTGCAGCAAAATCAAAGAAAAGTGGATAAGGCTTCTTATGCATTAAAGCTTGATTTCAATGTAAATGCGGTGATTCGTTCTATATAATCCAATAATCAAACCTTGGCTTGCACTACAGCCCTTGAGACTTCAACCTCATGTTGTTCTCTCTCTTGCTTCTTGGAATTCACCTGTTTTAGAAGCTTCTTCAGGTCCTCGTTACTCGGGTCATTCTCGATTCCCTTTTCGCAATAAAATTTTGCTTCGTTGAGCAAATCCAATGACATTGAAGCCTTTGCAGCTCGATACACTGCCTTTTTAAGCATTGAAACCCGTCAGTGAAACAACCAAACACACACCAACGGAATCGAAGAGAAATGTTCTTAAAGCAATATGGTTTAATACCTTGATGTTATCAGGACATAGCCTGATTGCTTCCTCAGCATCTGTAAGAGCACGCCTGTAGTTTCCTAGTAGTAGATTAACATGGGATCGATTTGAGAACAAGACTGAGGTCTCTGAGTCACTTAGAACTCCCTGGTTAATGGCTTTCGTGTAGAATTCAACCGCTTCAGAGTAATGCTTTTTCCCTTTCCTTACACATTCATTTCCCTGTTCCTGTGATTGAACAAGACGTTCATGAACAACATCGGAGTGATATGCATCAGCAAATGAATGAGATCGATTACGCAGAACTTAGTATTCAACTACATTAAACATCGAATCAAACTACAGTATCTCAGTTCTAAAACAAATCAACTTCGATATTCGTAAGACTTTGAAGCACCAAATCGAAGCAACACTGTCAAAGAGCAATTGATTACGACACCAAAATCACGAAATCGGGAACGAGAGAGAGAAATGGTACTTTGAATTCGATGGCGGCGGATTCTTTGAGAGCAGAAATAGCTTCGAGATCAGCTTTCTCGCTCTCCGTCATCGGCTCCGACCCAGCATCCATCCATAGCGCCATTGATTCGCAAGCAGAAAGAATGAACACAATACTCGAAATTCGATTAACCTAGACGAAGCTGAAGCAGAAGAAGAAGCTTCGAGTTGTTTGGAGGGAGAAGGAGAGACCGGTTAAATCCAATCAATCACTAACCGAAGACCAGTTGAATTCTATCGTCCCGGTTCGACCGCAATAGTTTACCTGTGCCTCGATTGTGTGTTATCACTGAGAAGTAATTGAGCATTATGGGCCCAAATAGTCCCAAATTTTAAACCAATGTGTATTTTATCCGACAACTCAAAACCAAAAAAGAAGAAGATTTTAAGAGTAAATAACGTATATAATTTGATTTAAAAGTATTTATAATTTTCATTTACTGAATATTTTGTTGTACAGATTACTAACTTCATTATATATTACATAACTAAATACTATATAATAAGAAAAATAATGTGAACGTTGGATCAAAAATCTAGTGGTGAGTTTTTAAAAGAAAAGAATAAAATCCTGTGAGATCCTGTCTCGGACATATTTTATTCATGGTGGTCTAAAAAGGTGACCGGGACAATGCAATGGTCGGTGCGTAAGAAAAAGACAAGTCGGCTAATTTTATAGGAACTTTATAGTACCGTGTTGAATTTATTACGGTGGACCCTTAAATGGGCTTAACTTGGCCCGTACAGTTAAAAACAAAAATTGACTCTTCTTAAATTCATTCCCAAACCTTCAACAAATATGGCCACATCTCTCGTATACAGCCACATTCACCAATCACCATACCAAACCCTAGGTACCAAATTAAATTGTGGTGGGGGTTGATATTAAATTCTCAACTGAATAACGAATCTACGGATTGCCAAACAAGAATTCAAAACGGGATTTTGTTGGAACCGATCGAAAAATTGAATACGGGAATGAAGTTATAACTTGCGATTAGCTTTATTAACGTTCCAAGGTCCATAAAGAGACTTCTAATTAGGTCATTTCGACACATAAAAATGATAAAGAACATGTGGGAGAAATGAGTTAGGTATATTATGTTCCACCATCATCATTATGCACGTTACATAAAGTTGGAACCGATACTTTTACTAGCTTTTAGACTTTTATATAAATTTCATATGTTTATTGTGCATACATTAATCATATGTTTTAAGGAATTTTTCCGTTGTAATCAATTCGTAAATAGATAAAGTTATCAACTTATACATCTTGTCAACACCAAAACAAAAAAAAAAAGTTTTCAACTCGATTGACACGATCCAGTTTTTGACCTTTTTGTTTGTCCTCAAATGAACAATTTGCATAAGCGACATTTGGTTCATCTTTATTGTGCATAATCACCGAGTGGCATACACTGTTTTTCTTTTCATCTTATAAAAACAAATTAGAAAGTGGGTGGGAAGTGAGGTGGCCTGGATTGGAAGTGGTACAAAAAAGGTTTGAACAAAGCCATGACGATACCAAACAAACACAAATGACAAAATCATGTCATTATTTTATTTGTTTAAAACTATAATACATTATCATGCCTTTCTAGATTTGTAATTACATTATCATCGATTCACCGTTTTAACTCTTACAAGTTACAACTTACATCCATTATTTTTGGATATATTTTTTTTTTTATGAAATTGAAGTGAGAAGAAGAAGAAGGATGACCATATATACATATTCTCTTCTTTGTTCCCCCGAGAAAAAGTAATATTTTCGGTAGATCATTCCTCTTTTTTTTTTTTTTTTGTAAATCGTAATTTCGTCATTGTGAACTAGAAATGGTTTAACGTACCGTGTTTTATAACAACAATTATATATGAATAATCATGTATAAAACCACGAACATATTTGTCTTTAATGTACATACTACATGATCAGCAATATATAATTGACAATCATGTAATATAAAATGTTATGCCACGTAAGAAGCATTTGGCATGTGTAGAGTAAGTCGTCATCATCCGCACACTGATTTTATATTCATATTTTTCTATTCATCATAGTTTTACTCTGTATTCTAACTAAGGTCCACCCTTTCAATTTGAATAGCCTCACTCTCACTTGGGAAACCTTGCATGTAGATTTTGACTTACAATTCTAATCTATGGTTCTTTTCAAAAATATAAAAAAATCATTAAAAAATATATATATACATATATAAAAAATTATTTGGTGGATATATGTTTTAAACTGGTCATAAATTAACCATAAAAGATTGATGATGAATCTGAAAACATATAGGTTCAAACGTAATATTAAATTAATGATTAAAAAGAAGTATATATTTGAAGATCTAATTTGGATTATAAAATACCATTTTTAGCAAACTCTAGAAGTTATTGTCATCAAGATCTAATAGATTAGTAGTTTAATTCACGCTGACACATTTGTCTGACGATTGTTTATTTAGTGCAGAGATGCTACGTTGGTAATCTTTTCTAATATTATATTGAAACGATAACGTAAACTATCTACACTTTG